CTGTAAATTACATTAATTAATAAGTAAAACGCGTGCCAACTCATTTACACGTGCGCTATTTTGGCCCACTTATAACCACATTTAACTTCGTGGTAATGAAAGGATTGCAATATGTTAAAACTGTAAAACAGTGAAAAGTACAAGAACGGAATATAACGAAAAAAAAAGTAGACGATAAGAACACATAGTTACCAAAACCTTAGAATTTGGTCATATGCAACTAACCAGGCACAATGTCCACCCCACATCCTGACCCGCCAAATTTGAACCACTTTTCAGGAAGAAAAATCTATAACGATAATTAAACGCTGAGAGGAATAAACAGCAAAGAAAAGCTGTATCTTCTTCCACGTGTTTATTTTCTTCAGATTTCTTTTTTCAAGCGGACCATTTCAACAACTATTACAAACCCATCCGTACAAATGCGGCATTCATGCTAACCGTCCATGCAAGAATGAGGATCGATGTCGGCGTTTTCGAAATGGAATAGCCACCTGCTGATTTATCCAATTTGTAAATGTTTGACATTGGATATCGATCCATTGCTGATGATTTTCGTCCATATCATATGAGTTCTGGTGTATAGAAGATGTATATGGACAGATGGGAAAAGCTAAAAAGCAATGGATACGTGATAGTAACTGAGTAAATGACAAGATGTGCACGATTTATGAAGTCGTTATCGGTCAGAGTTGAACAAATCTCACTGAACGATAAACGCGTGTGTTTTGCTATTCGACATGTTTGGCGCAAAAAGCACTAGTATTCTAGAATCGACAGTTGTATTGACTGATGAACACTATGAAAGTGTGACATAATTCCCAAAAATTCGCCCACTACTTGAAGACATTCGAATTTCCAGGGATAGTTCATGCCTATTTCTAAAAGACCTTAACATTAACAACCCATAACCAACTGTTCATTGGTAGCCTATGACATGGAGTAAGGTAGTAATAAAACATACCAAAACATAACAATGACGCTATTTCACACACATTAATGCTTATAGAGGATTTTTTAAGCATTATGAAAACGTGAACAACTATGGATAACAAACAAGGTTCCGTGAACACTGCAGAAGAAGCAAACACCTGTCATTACCGATTAAATTTCGATCTCGTCGGTATGAGCACCCTAGGAAATGAAATTTACTGCATTCTTTGACGGAGGAAGGAGTTAACAACAGTCGGAAGAACTATAGGTATCATTTCAGAACACCATCTCGATAAAGAGGTAAGCACGCCCTTCAATGCAAACACATTGGATATAGCCGGCAGTTTTCAGCATAACACCCGAGCAGAACCGGGCTGATCTGGCCATTCCCGTTAGACCAAACAATCCGCAAACGTGTACGATTCGCTCACTAATTCAGCTCAGAGTCTCCATACGCTTTTGTCAATAGAGCGTTTATGCTCGAAGCTCATTAGCGGCAGCAACGCAGAGCGACCGCAAAGCACGTGCGGTATGGTCGTGTGCATTATGACCTCTTCGCAATCACTGTGATAATAACTCGGTTGATCGCAACAACTTACGACAACATGGATTGGAAACCTTAGCGGGAGAGGAAGAAAGCAATAAATCAAAAGTACCGATCTCAGTTACAGACTTCGCTAACAGCAACTTCAGAATTATTTTACCACATTCGACGATATCCACGCACACGATCTTTTCTCTGACTTCTTTCGTCTGTCGAAATTATCGTATCCATTCGATTACGCTGTACTATCGAGATTTATTCCGTGCAGAAGCAGAGGCGACAATGAATTTCTCTGCATCTTTATGAACTCAGTGGTTTTTACACATAACCCTGTCGCTGGTCTCTTGTTAAATGCTAGTTTTAGTACATTTCGACCAATAAAGTTATCGCCACTAGCGTCTTTCTCAGCAGCGGAATCTTCTGAGGGACGACGGCAATGAATGAATTTCGACTTCTTCTTCAACCATTCGAATCATTTCGTGACCAACAGAAATGCACGTGCCCATGTGAGATTGCTGATTCCACTACAACTCACATTCCCTCAGAGAAACTGTGGTGAAACCGCAAACTCTTAGTTTTTATTTACTGCCTATTACAATCTTTTCACGGCAGGGTGTGTCGACAAATACAGGGTCTAATGCCGATTTGTGCTCTGCAAATTATTCCCATTGGCGGGTGGTTGCTGATGGTACAGTTAGAGCCACGGATCTACCTCATGATAGAGATCTCGAGCCGATTAGTCGCAAGGCTACGTGGGGCGACCAATGGCGGCGGAGAGGAGGTTAATCGCGGACCAAAAGTAACCTTTGCTTCACTTTTACGCAGTTGAATCCAGGAGAGAAAGTCCCTGTTTCTGCTGCGCCGATTTAGCACATACCTTCTGTATTTGCGAGGACGTATTCATGCATGCGTGCGAGGGTGTGTTCTCGTTTAAGCGGATTGTATTCTACGAGTCAATTCGGCCAAAATCCTACAACCAAGTGACAGGAAACTATACGGGATGCGGATAAGAGTTGCCTCCAACAATTAAACTCCGTGTCCACTCTGGGAGAGACAGGCAAGATAGCCGTGAGTAAACCCACCCCCACGTTCAGAGTTTAGCAAGCTATACGTGGGTATCAAAATGCTGAACGCAGTAAAATAAGAGTCCATCATTTTCTTGACCTCGAAAGAGTCCCCGATTCGGCAGTGTTGGGTAAGACGAGTAAGCAGAGGCTGCTAAAATGTCAGATCCATACTAAGCTGCCTAAATCGCAAAGGACTATGGTGACGATCTGCACCTACAATGCACGCACACTTGCATTTGAGTCCTCGATGGAAGAATTGATGGTGCAAGCAATAAGGATAAGGTACGACGTCATTGAACTGGCTGAGACGAGACGACGTCGTCCACTCAAAGCCTTCTATAACATCGGACAAATAATGTTCTTCAAAAAAAGAGGCGATAGTGGAGTCGGCGACGTCGGCGACGTCGGCGTTTTTGTCAACACGAATTTGGCCATGAACTTCGATCCATTGGAACAACTAACATCCCAAATCGGACGTTTACGATTGAAGAGGTGTGGATCAACACAGACTTCGAAAATCTTCGTCGTTTACGCATCAACATCAAGCTATGACGAGAAAGAAATCGAAGCTTTCCATATGGCCTTGGAAGAGTTCTACAGACAGAGAAGACCATACGTACTTCAAGTTCATAATTGGAGACTTTAACGCTAAAATCGAGCCCGGAAGAACATCTGAAAAAGTCATAATGTGACCCATGGATTAGAATGGGACGGCCAGTGAGAGCGGCTGTTTGAGTTTATCATAAAGATCGTGACCGTTCATGGTAACTCGGCATTCCAGAAGCCCCACCCTCAAAGCTGGATATGGAAGTCTCCCAATAGACGAAAAAGGGCACGTCATAGTATAACGAAGGCATTGCCTAACCGATGTCGTTGCTGTCATAAAATTCTACAAGGGATCAGATTGTCGCCTCCTTCGTGCAAGATTTCATTTCTTGTGGAAGGAACGAAAATCAGCTGTATTCAAGAAACGAAGTCCTAGAACCACCATAAACTGGTCCAAATTTCATTCATTAGTCAGCTATTGGGAACATGCCGTTGTCGATAACATCGACGAAGAATACGATCGGCTCATTCAACATCTTCACGTTAGCGCTGTGAAAACTGAGAGCTCGAAATACTCCAAGAGACGTCTGTCTCCAGAAACGCCCGAGATGATACGCCAGCGTTGAATCGCACGAGCTGCAGGCAACCGCCTTCTCACGTCTGAACTTGTGAATCAATGCAGACAGGCGATAAAAAAAGATTTCAAAAGGAGAAGAGCAGCAGCTATGGTTAAAGCTGTAGAGGCTGGAAAAAGCATTTGCAAAGCCTATCGAAGCTTCGCTTGTTACAAAACCGAGATGATAGCACTCTTACTCCCAAACAGAAAAGTTGCAGCGTCCAGAAAGGTAATGCAGAAAATCATTCACGAATACTACTCGGATCACTTCGATAGCCACGTCCACCTTCCGTCATTTGAAATAAAGTAGGATGGATATGTTGTACCAACGGTTCTCCCTTCCGAAATCCGACATACCATTTCGTCGGTGAAAAAACGAACAGCACCAAGTCCGGACAGGATATAACCAGAACACCTGAAGAACCTTCCGCCAGTCCTCGTAAACACACTGGCTCAGCTCATCACACGTTACTTCTCTGGATGTAAGGCCCCTAATCAGAAGTCTATCATGACTGTGCTATTGCTTAAGAAAGGTGACCTCGGTGATATCGGCAACTATAACTTCTCCTTGCCGTCCATCGTCTACAAAAATTTCAATCGATTCATCCCAAACAAATAGGTTCAGCATGATGGACCACATTTACACGATAACAAGACTCACTGAAGTATCGCGATGGTACAAAAGACTGTTCTATCTCACTTTCATCGACTTAAAAATGCCCTTCGATTCAGTTGAGAAAGAAGTAGTCATGGATTCCCTGGACAGTCACGAGTCTCTACTCATTATATAAAGATTCTTCGTGAGCTGTATGAAAACTTCACCACCATAATATCACCATTCCACAACGATATTCATCGACGAAAAAAGAGAGGTTAGACAAGGCGATACCATATCACCAAAACTACTTACTTCCACCCTCGAGAATGTCATGCGAACATTAGAGGGGACAACATGGGAGTGAAAACCGATCAACGGCAATTATACAATCTTCGCTTTGCTGATGTCATCATTCTTGTAACGCAAATCATTACCCAAGCAGAATGCTGGCCGACTTTGATAAAGCCTTTGGAAAAATTGGTCTTCGACTAAATATCACGAAAACGATGTTTATGAAGAACTGATTGGTTACGTATGCCCCATTCACGCTCAAAGGAATGAATATCCAAATGCTCTAGTTACATTTTTCTAGGTCGGCATATATCAACATGGCGAACGATATAGCTCCAGAGTTGAGCTGAAGGGAATACGCGCTGTCGAAACGACGATGCTAGGAGTATCCCGTCCTACGCAAGTATGGGAAGGGATCCGAAGCTTCGAGTGAACAACAACCATTGGACAGGAGCTGTCAGTGACTGGATTCCTTGGGATATCAAACGTACTGCAAGTAGGCCACCGACCCAATGGTAAGAGTTCTCCGAGAGTCTAGAAGAAAGGTATGATGTTCCATGAGTTTCTAGAGAGATCAGAAGTCACTGGGCTACTCCTGCATGCGACAGGAAAAAATGGAAGACTAACTGTCGCCCGCTCGAGTCACTCGACGATAAACGGGACCACAGGTGATACAGGTGAGGTGATACCGTTTCAGCACATGTAGCGCAGTAGATAGAGGCTCTCAACAATATACATGGGAACGATCCACGCTCCACGCTCACCAAGCGTTCTAACGCACTTGGGTTGGCAAATTGATAGCAAACCTATCCCTATCTGGGGGATATGAGTACTGACTTGATACACCGATGAGTCACCGGGAGTCATTGTTTAGGTCAGATATGCATTCAGTGACCTCTAACGATGCTTGGTGAAGTCGAATGCATGCATCGCTCAAGATGTTCGATGCGGAGAGCTCTATCCTTTATCCTTTTTTTTACCGTTAGAATAAAAAGTCTGGCTAAGAGAAAGACAAAACAAGGGGCTCAATGATGCAGTCAGTGGATAACACGTGAGTCCCTCCACACTCCTCCCCTGAAAGGGAAATCGCGGCTTCGAACCTGGCCTGGGGTCCAAGTTTTGCAATTATCTCAGCACCATAATGGTTTGAGTGAAACCATGGAAACGATACGATCAAGTATGTTAAGCAAGGATTTAAACGAGAAACCTTTCAGAAAAATTGACACTGCTAAAAGCAAAATATTTTTCATTATAGTGACGTAGTGAAATTGCTATTATCGTTTCTGCCACAATTTGTATCACAAAAATTATTATAACCATGATTTCTGCGAATAGCACTAAGCATAAAAGAGAGGGAAATAAACACGAGCCCAATTTGAGAAGCAAAACTCGCTGCCTTGAGTTCGTAGAGGGTCATCCATTTTTTCGTTCTTCAGTGGTAGTTTTGAGCAAATGAAGAGGATGGGAAACCAGTAATACCTCCATCGCTTTGTGTCTTCGCACTATTTAAGTCTTTAAAACGTCTGGCATTTCCATCAGCAAACTCAGCTAGGAGAAAAGCATTACCAGGATTCACCACCGACCAAACTAGTCACATGGTGGCAAATCTCCCTTTGATGCACAAAGGTGGCGACCGCCTGTGGTTGCGACGCAGACCTCGGGACTCCAAGGAGCCATAATGGCTAGGCCAGCAAAACTCCGAAAAAATGGAAGTGTTATGCTGGTGCCCGCACAGCCAGTGAGAACAGTACATCGAGGTATCCAAGTAGTATTAGAGCTTAACATTATGGGGGTGGGCTGCGCAGTAGTAATGACGCAGTTCATCATGAGCGTGCATGCTGGTTCGACTGCACCTCGAGCACATCATGGCTGTGTACCTAGATTAACCCTGACCTCTCTGGTCTACAAGGTTCCCATCTTTATTGTAAAACCACTAAGTGCCTTGCGTATTCGATCAGAGTTCCCTGAGATAAAGCAAAATTGCAAGTGCTTTGCGCTACTGGACACCCAATCTTGGATACAGGCAAGAAGGAATGCTCTATTTTGTTTTTTGTTTTCATTTGCACTAAACACCCCACTAAAATCAGAAATAATAAAATAATAAAAAAATTAATTAAATTAATAAAAAATTAAATTAATAAAATTAAAGTTAAAAAATTAAAATTAAGTTAAATTAATAAAAAATCAGTTTGGTGCAAAAATATCAATGGTAATATGAGAATACAGAGCAAGATTTGCACCATAAAGCGTTATTCGACATGCATAGGACTCCTAAGCATTGTATAAGAACAGAGCTTTCAACTTGATATGTCTGACGCAAATGTAGGGAGAACGAATGTCAGCCGATTGTTTAACGATATATTTTTTTTACCTCTTCATGCCTTACCTATTAGAGAGTGTTAAGTACTCAAACAATGTAAAACTTCCAGTACCATATTGTAGTACATGAACGCAGATTTACATCCCAACTCCAAGTTCAAATGTTTCATGATCCATGTAAAGAGTGTTTCTTTTTATTATTTTACATAACTCGTCATCACATCTACTTTGTGAATCTCAGAACTTCTGACATTCGATTTGTGCTCCACACATTCATCCTTCACAATGATCATCGAACATTTTGCACCGAACACCGAACGTCGTGTTATTACAGCTGCTGCTTGAGGATTTCGTCTTCTTCGTGAATATCGTAAGATGCTGGTCGATGCAGTTCTCCTTGCAATCTTTGAGATAATCGGGCTAAAGCGTTCCCACGTGAATTGGAGGAGAGCGCTAGGATGGGGATCGAACTAGCGCGTTTACTTCCTGGTCGACTAAATCACTAACCACTGCGCTCCTCTACCCTAAATAAAGATATGAGTACTTGAATTTCATTATACACCACAACGCCACACTCGAAAAATAGGAGTGCAGTGATTCTTGATAACAAGCACATATATAATGTTGTTTTTGTTTAACTCACAGTTCATGGAAAATTAAGTACTCATTAGATAGTGGACACAAGACCGATGTGAAACAATCAGTCTCCGATGGAGTTTGGAGAAAACGATATCCACGAGGAACCAATGGTTTTCAGATGCCTCAGTGGCGCTCAATGAAAACAATAACTTCGCAAGCAGCACTAAGGTTAATGAAAGGAGCTGTTCCAGAAGGTCAAGTCACGATTGTCGAAGTGCATGCTTTCATCGAGGGCTCCTAATCTGAGAAGAGTTCAACATTGCTAAGAGAACAGGAGATGAATAAAAGAGTTGAACAAAAGAATAGAAGAGAGAATCTATTCGATGTCGGTGTAGTCCCATCATCCTCCACCTGATCATTCACGACCCTCTTCATGCGAAGGTTCGCCTTGACAACGAAGTGGGAAATAAATTATATCATCATGCGAGAAGAAGAAAACAAGCCATATACAATAGTTCCATCTTTTGCCATATTCAACCATAACTGGGAAAAATGCGAGGTTCGGATTGAGGACTATGAGTTGCTAATGATTTAAATTGCTTAACATTTGTCACTTCCGTTGTTTTCTGTAGGGCCCTGATTTTTTTTTTAACGAACTCTGCCATCTCCTTGTAATATGGGTTTTAGTTCGTTTCGTGAAACTCGATGTGAACAACTTTGCACGTCCTTTTGGAAAAGCTCAGCACTGAAGCAGCTGATGATGACCAAGTGGAAAAGGTGACTACTGTCCCAGATAGTGTTAAAATTCGAGTAAAATGCTTTCGTATTAGCTTTCTCATAACTTCATATTGAGCCATACGTGAACCTGACTATCAGAAACACTATCGATCCCAGTGTTCAGCCACGTTCGATTTGAGTTGTCAATGATTCAATCCAAATCCAAGGACAAACTTGTGCTACAATCGTTGTTTAAGGCCAAACTAATCCTAAAAAGAACACCACCACCGCGAATATCTGACATGTCGCATCTTTCAACAAATGGTTCTTCTCCAGCGTCGCCGATTGCGTATAATGGGAAGTACCTTCTTCTATCGGTCAAACTACAGTACACCGTACTTGATCTTTGTAGAGCGTTACAAGGTCCTTAAATAAAGATTCTAAAGTTGATTTCCAATTGAAATATAGATCCTAAGTAGGTAGGACATTACGATGGTGACGGCACTTTCATTTTCCTTACGAAGCTTCTTCTTTTCCAGGCAAGATACTTTAGGATACGAAGAAATGTGATGTCGACGAGCAGACGTGATCGTGGTGTTTGACAGAGTAAAGAAGCCCGTCATCGGATTGTACCAGTGGGTCGCAGTTGTGTTTTCAGGATTTTTATACGTTTTTATTGACTATTAAAGTGCTCTGTTCTCAGCACATTATGACCAACAACGAGATATTTTGACCTCGAAAATCCAACATAACCTATACGAATCGGGAATTTCGAATGTCAATATCCATCTTCTCTGCTCTTTCTGCAGCTGTTCATTCTTTTCACAACTTACAATCCCTTTCAGTAAATACAACATATTTCTTGCGACAGTAGTGCAACGTACCGCCATATCCATCTGAACGCCTTTCCGCGATGCCACTGTTTTCGCATACAGCCTCAGTCGTCTTCATACCATCATCTTATTGAAGTCATGTACAAGATTTTTCGCCACAAAATTAATCGTTTTTCGTAAAAATTTCCAATCAAAGACATAATTCTTCACGATAAATCTTTCTCTTCAAGGCCTTATAGATCTTCGATTGATTAGAAAAATCCGTTAATTATGATCCGTTCATAGTACATGAATTTATCCAACGATACGTCAGTATACGGAACACATGTGAAAACCTAACACTCTCGCCGAGCGCAACGTCGGTGATCTTCCGCGTGCACGATGGTTAGCGTGCACGACAGCGAGATCACGACAAGAGAACACTGGGATTGTGGATGCGAAGAGACACACGCGCTACGTGACGCGACGCACTTGTGAGTTTTGCTCTATGTGGCGAGTAAACGTACTTCTGCGTATATCTATATATATTTGCATGTATTTACATGTATAACGTGCGGATTTTATTCTCACGAACTCTACAAAGCAGTAGTTGTATAGGAGATTACGTTTTGTTGCGAAGTGTTTGAGGAGGATCCATTTTGATGAAAGGGCAAAATGAAACAGTTGAGAGCGGACACAGATGGTACAATCTCAGCCTGCTTCTACTCATTGAACGATTTTCTTTAGTAGTAAAAGTTCCGTGCGAAAGTTTGGCAAGGACCTAATCCATGTCTACATATGTAACATATTTGCTAGGTGATCGTTTAGCAACATATCAACTGTCGTCGTTTTGTTTTGTGGCGAAGTTTGCTGTTCTAGCACAATTATGTATAAATAAGTTTCATTTATTCTATTTTCATTTTATCTCGTCTTATTTTATTTTATTTGGCCCGTTTTTACGTCTGCTTTGCGGATTCCAGCACTTCTCACATTGAATTCGTTTTCTCGCATGCACTGCCCACGTTGATTTTCCAATTTTACGTGTGGTTTCGGTTGCTGCTTGAGGATTTTCATTTCATCTTGAATGTCGTAGAATGCTGGTCGAGCAATTCTTCCTGGAGTCCTGAGATAACCGGGCTGGAGCGTTCCCAATTGGATTGCTGGGAGTGATTTTCTTCCCAAACGAGTCCTGCACCAATTTCCCGACCCCGGAGGGATAAGAAGTTTTGTTGGCCTGCAGCGGAATCGAACTAGCACCGTGCTCAAATCGAACCACCACTATATATAAATAAATAAAGAGCAATAATATCTTTCGTTCCAAAGGAGTAATCAAGTCGGTACAGATAGGCGTATTCACCTTGTGTTGAAACTTTTTTTTAGTGGTTTTTGCTTTCTATATTGTAATTGTTGTAAGTGCTACTATTTGAGAAAAGTGCTATGAAAAGATGGAACAAGTTTTTTTTAAATTTAAAGTTTTCCAGAAAGAAATAGGTTACCTTCTGTCTCGGACTTGTTTCTTACGTTTTCCCCTTCCTTTTTTTCGTTTTTCTGATCTTCTAAGACTTACAAATTCAAATTAGAAGTTCATTTTCTTCCAGGGACTGTTGCGTCTTTCATCATCCATGTAAACAATAATTATTCTCAATTCTGTGTATTATCAATTCTCAAGATGAACCTATCAACGGAGGACTCCTCAGGAACCGCTGTTCAACGTACAACTCAAGAACATGACCAGCCTACAGCTACTGAGTCTACTTCAGTAATAAACGTGAGCTTATAAACTGTTCTATAACGTTTGCCTGTGTTACAAGACGAGTAACAGGCTTTACTCGTTGCAGAATCAAACAGCAACCACCTCGCATGAATCAGATGCTCGTCTCGTTCACATAGAAGACCACTTATCGGCTGAGGTTCATCCTAATGAAAAGCGGACAATTAACGATAATAAAATGGTTGGTGATTAAATAATTATATTATAGGAATAAGGTGAACTTATTCGTTATGTTTTACCAAAATCACCTAGCTCTTAAGCATCAGAAGTTGATTACATACAGGTGAATTCATGAATAACTATAACTTATAGATTTTGACTAGAAACATTTTACCTCTAAGCATCTGCAACAATGGATCATATGTAAGTCGAACATAGCCGAAAGTACTTTAACCTTTCAATTCTGAACAGACTCAGCTAATAGTGAACTTTATTGCTTGTTTTAAAATCATCAGAATTCTATTATTTTTTCAGCAAGGGAGAAGTTATTTTCTTATCACGATAGCATATTAATCTACTGGATCTCCGAATCACATAAGCAACGGAACAAATGAACAAAGAGGGTTTCACTAGGTCTAAAGTGATGACATTCCCCAATGTGTCATCACTGTGGGCGGTTACCTCTCTTGCGTTAAAAATTTTGTGGTTCATTTATTACATTGAAACTTCTCCCTTGTTTATGATGATTTAAAGACTCATAATACTATGGAAAAGCTATATATACGCTTAGAGCGATAAGACCAAGTCTTTTATGAGATACTCGACCCGCGAGGACATTAGGTATTCTGCTTAGTGAAAAGTACTCGCCAGTTTTAGGGAGAATCTGTGCTATTGCGAATATCTTGGTAGCACATTAGATACGTTTGGGAAAGTTATTCGATTCAGGTTGCCGAAAACACTCGTGGCAGTTATTCTGTCATCAAATCAGAGTCGCATGATGAAGCATGTAAGCTTATTGAGAGTGGTGTTGAGATCAGCACTAATTCTTTAACCATCACTTCTCACGTTGCTGATGACGAAAGTACTACTGGCAGCTTCGGTACCACTGTAGATGATGTGGATGCGACGACAATGGACGATGAAGATGCGAGTGAAATTGAGCAACCGAGGTCATCGACGGATGTTTTACGGAAACCTTCCACAGCTCCCCAGGTATCGGACAGTAGTTAAGTGCAGTTTACAGACAAAGAAACACTAAATGTAGGTAACTTATTAAAGATCGACGCCGAGCAATTGCGCTGCGACCCTGATTTCGCTGTGATCTGCAGTTTCATCAACAAGTTTTTTACCCTGATGAGTTCGTCTTAGTGTCCAATGTATTATTAAAAGCTTATGTGGAATAAAAAGTGACGAGGGAAGTAAATATTTAGGGATGGAGCCGGTGAGCTTTTGTCAACTAGAAAATATGTTCACCAAATTAGAGGACGGCAGAGGTAAGGTACACATCAAAGAGATTGTAGATTCATATTATTTAAAAGACATACGCATATTACAGTGTCAAAAGAACTTGTGGATTTACATCTGAAGCTATTACGTAGATCGATTGTGAAGACCGTTAGCAATGATAGTTTTGAGAAGTGCATCCTTAAATATCTTACCAGCACAGGTCTACTCCCATCGGAAAAGCGACAGTTGGAGACGTATGTTTGCGCTTCTAGGTTTAGCAATTATTTTCCTTACGTTTATTTCAATTCATCTCCAAAGGAGTAGTGGTATTGGATAAAAAACTTCAAAAAATCGATGTGAATTTTGAAGGGTACCTCCAGTGGTTTATCATGGTAACTAAAAAGTGTTCCTTTGTTTTGTATTGGGATATAAAGAAAGGGGTGTCGTCGCTTTTACAGTCACCCAAACAGAAACTGTACGGCTTTTGCATTGAGAATCTTCGGTAACAATGGACCTATGCCACTGCACTGACCGGCAACTGCTGGTACCTTACTTCACGATAAAAACAGTACAAAAGTGATACCATGTAAAATGCGTGGTATTTCTTGTCTCTTGAGAGAGCAGAGCTTGCTGAGCAGCTTTGATGTGCAATGGAGTCAAAATAATTGAGATCTCTTTTCATATGCTGATTTTTAGATATGGTTACGTTCATATGTCAATACTTAGTAAACTGAAGATACTTAGGACTTTATGTGAGTTACAGCTGGACCATAATGCAAGGCTTAAAGAGAGTGTGAGTTTTTACACTCTTATGTTTACTATTGTACCAATTTTTAAACGTTTTTTTACATTTGTAATATATTTGGGATTTTGACTATATTTCGTGGGTGGTAAAACTTTTGTTCTCAGATACCGTTAGCCTTACGTGCCCTGGATATGAGAGATGTAGTAACCGGAGTTGACAAATGTGGTCTTGCATACTACTGTCAGATTGACTCAGTATTTGACCTTCGTCTCTATACTACTGAGCAGGACGATGAAAGCGGCTACTCATGGACCTTAGTTGCTCGGTAAGCACCACCTGGCGCTTTTCTTACGCAATCCATGCAGTTAATAGATCTTGATTAATCTTCAAAGCCAAGTTATTCGGATAATTTTCCTATAAATATTGTTTTACTATTACTGTTTTTATTTAAACTTGTGGCTGCTGTATTTTTTGACATAGTGCTGAATTCACTAATTGTTTAGTGACATGTCGGATCTTGAGAGGTTAATCGCCAAATTAAAGAGTGAAGATCTGGGCTACGTGAAGAATCCAAACGACAAGCGAGAATTTGTGAGTTATAGAATTAAAGTTTTAGAGAAGTGTATTTCCAGTATGGTGAGCGTATTTTTAAAGAAACAGGATTCAGAACAAAGGATTCGACGGTGATGCTGAGAACGTTGTTAATATGGTAACAAAAAAGGGCACCTACGTAGATATGTTTTTGGATGAGACTGCCATCAAAGTGGGTGTGTTTCATAATGGAAAATCGTTTTTTAGAGAACCGAATTGTCTTCGTTCAGAACATGCGGACAACAATGGTTAAACAAAAAGAAGAACGAAGAAATAGGCGTGCTAGACTGGAAAATGTTGGTGGACCTCCAGAAGAGATCGTGCGAGATGAAGAAGAGAAACCTTTGGAAACAGAGGATGTGAATCTGTTTGCTTAAACATGATTTTGTGCTATTTTCCCTCTAGAAGCTACTTAATCACGTTAGTATTCTGTTCTCCTAATATACATTTGAAGAGTGACCGAAGAGTTCTACCTCGCCGTAGCGCCTCCCAACGGGCGCAAACCAACATCCGTAAATGTGTAACGCCAAAGAAGAATCAAGAAAAGAAGCCCAATGTTGCCGAAGTGAACCCACCCGTTAAAGACGCGTTAGTTAAGCGTGTGAGTTGGCAACAACACTTTATAATTTCTTGAAGAAAATCAAGGACGAAAAGTTGAAAATAAAGTATGTATCACTTGTCAGCTGTAGTCCCGTGGAGCAAAACTTGGACCCAAGACCAGATTGAAATGCGTTCACGCTTTTCTAAGGCTCATAGGGTACTCAAGGCAACACTGAGGCCCTTTCTTTGCCTGTCTCTCAGCCATTTGCTTTGTTATAGGGAGAAAAATAATGAGCAGTAGATAAAAGCCACAGATATATAAATAACGTTCAAATAACATCAATTCCTTCGATGTTACGTATAGACGAAAAATTAAAGTGTTGACATATTTTATGAAAAATTGGTAAAATTATATGGATCATTAAATTGTAACTATCAATAAGATCAAATAAAATCATTAGGACTCATCTACGCCAGTTTCCGACGATTCAGAAGGATCTGCCGATTCATCTGAAGGAGATGGTACTGCGAGTAGCGATGATGAATTCAAGCCTAAAATACAAAAAAAATCTGGGTGAGTTCAAATTACTTCCTGTATCATTTCACCTATTGAGTTTCTTTTAACGGGAAAATCGTACTCAAATATTTTAGAAAACAGCAACGGAGAAGAAAAAAACCCATCGATGATGTCGAAGATGACGAAGATTCCGGCGATGAAGACGTATGTCTCCTTTTCGAAGAAAAATTTGCATGTACTTCCTCCAAACCCACCTCTATTTTTTAGGAGGAAGAAGTCCGAAGGAGAGCTGAAGGTGACTTCGCATGTGGTTCCTGTAAATTGAGCGACAACGAGGATATTGTATGTTTTTTTTCATAAAATTCATAGACGCAATAAGATATGCGTCTTAAGAAATGTCTGAAAAAGGCATATCCTATCTAGTTTTTGTTTTTGAAAGTAACAGCGCTCCTCCTTCGTTTTTCTGTTCCTTTATAATTTTTTAACAGTTAGTTATCGTTGTCCAACGTTTTTATAAAGCTTTTCAGCTGCTACTTTGTGATAATTGCGATGATGCGTGGCATACAACTTGTTTGAAGCCCCCGCTCTGGTAGGTGTCACGTTGTCATTCAGCATTTCTTCATTTCACGATAGCTCCCGCTCATCTTGACACAGTCCTAATTCGAATCTAACTTTCACAATATTCTAACGTGAAAAATATTGAATGTTTTTATATTGGTCTTGTGAAGTGATCAGTACCGTAAGAATTACTTACTTGGATATTTTGGCGGCCAGTCTTCACTGGTTATGCGAAGCCCAGCATATTCATTTTTCGATGTTCCGCTGGTTTAGCCACTGTGTTTACTTGCAGTCCCGTGGTCAGCCTGGCTAAAGTCTGCCCCACGTCTTCACCACCACAGGCAGTCGTCGCCTGTGTGTATCCAGAGGGAGATTTGCCACCTTGCAACTTGTTTGATACCAGGACAGTGGTGGATCCTGGTGTTGGTTTACTCTTGGCTGGTCCCTCCGATGGAAACGCCGGACTGCTTCTCAGCATGAGAGTCCCTGCTAGGAGGATGAACCCCTCCGCTGTACATTGAAGCCTGACACCCTAGAAGGCCTCCCAGTCATGACTAGGTGGTGAACCGTTGGGAAGCCGTAAGCATTATGAAACATTTCCAAAGTTTTCCTTATTTGCAGCACACAATCCTCTCACCTGATTTTACGTTTCGTTGAGTTGAGAAGAAGGTGGTAGCTCTGTTTTAAGAACTGGTGCCTGGTGCACTTACTTTCCACGGAAAGTGTTTCGTTGTCGCCGTACTCGAAATAGTCCACTAAAATATTTTTATACCTTAGAAACATATCATCTCTTAATCTCAATAGTATTCGCGATATCTACCATAATTTGGTACAAAACTATCCAGAGTATTATGTGAAATACAACCATAACAGTGCTGAGATATTCGTAAAACTCCGGACCGCAGGTGTTTGCAGGGGAGAACAAACGCGCTACTTTTACCCTTTCTGTGAGCTAAGGCGTCCACCACCACACTATGCGGGTTCTTTGTTTCGCCTGTCAGTCAGCTAGCTTCGTATTTACCAATCCCATCAGCAATCATTCGTCAACGAGGTTGATCTTGTGAGACCAATTCGGCAGTGAACGCAGTTTAAAAAATCGTAATAGGCAACAAATAAAAAGTCAACATTATGCAGGATTTTTCTTTTTTAAAACATACCTTTTACGACCATGTTTTGTTTTCCTGTACCGGTCCTTGTTACCCGAACGGCTTGGTTGAGCTGAAATGACAGGATTGAATTGCATTAGTTCCGAATTCGTGAATGTTGGAAGTGCAGAATGACGTCAGAAAGTGAAAACTAGTTATAAATCTAATAGTATTCCGTTTATGAAAACAATTCACGCTCTCAGGTTTGTTCCTGGTGGTAAGTGGTATTGCCCAAAATGCGAACATGGAATGCTCATCGAATGTCTTACTTATGTACAAGAAATGCTCACCATTCATCAACGGAAAGCAGCTGTTGAAGAGAAGAAGTAAGTCGGAATATTTAAGATGGAAATAACTACAATTTTTTTTTGTAAATAGGAAGACTTAACATCTACTTTGAACATTGGTGTTTTTTCTTCGGTGCTGTACTATGCTATACGTGGAATTAGTTCTATAGTAACGTATAACTTAGAACACCTGGACTGTCCATCTTCGTGAGTTGTGCCGGACTCCAGAACATTTGACATTCGTTTCTTTCCCTCGCAATCGTTGTCCATGGTGGTAGTTTTGTTCGAGCATGGTAGCGTGTGCGAGTCTTGTACCGTGATCTGCAAAATAACTACAGCTGCGACTACAGCTGATTGACTTTAGTTACGAACGCGTCCGTCCTTCGTATACGTGGTCGTCTCATAACCCGATCTTTTTTCGCGTCTTGTTGAGTTGGTTAATTATCGTCTTTGTTTCATCGGTGCTTCATGAGAAGATGACGATGTCATTGGCGAAGTGAAGGTTTGATAGGAATTGTCATATGTGGTATATAAACCTCAGGGTATGGCAAGAAGTCGGTGGGAAAGCTGTATTTCATGTTGGTGTTTCGGTATCACTCAAAGTTCGTATGCATTCTTTCATCGTCGGGGAAACTCGGCTAGGCTTAGATGGTATTCCAAACAAACTGCTATGAGCGTTGACGCGGTTTGGATGGGGTCCATGTTCGAAATCTTTGTCGAAATTCTGCTTGCTTAGCTGGTTGTGCCTCATCCAATGTTCTTGATATGCATAATAGAATAGTCTTCGTGAGGAGAGTACAGTCAACAAGCATAAAGAAAAATAAAGCTCTTGGAGTTGATCAATCCCTGAGAGATGTGCCATGTATTCGACTTCATTAAGTACCGTTGGAGGTGATTGAATGCATATCTGGCTTTTACAGTGACTCGCGGTGGCCTACCGAAGTATCGAGTCAGTTCTGCTATCCTTCCAGACAAATCTGGTACCATTTTGCCGATCCCGGAGGGATGGAATGCTTGGTGGGGATGGGCTCCGGGATCGATTCCACGTGTTTTGCAAGGCGCCACTGAGCCACACGCGCCCTTCAACCGTCAACAAGCATATCGGGCTTTCGAGAAACATATTTAGATAGTTGCTTCCAGCTCTATGAGTGTCAGCACTGATTTTATAAGGTCCTGGAGATGTGCTGCCGTTCTTCACACTTTCTATCGGAACGTTGCGATAGAAAGTGATAATGCGTCCACCATTAGCAGTGCACAGTTCTGAAAAGTTGCTTAACAGGTTTAATATTTCTGCCCACTTTTAGCTCTCTTTTGACTGACACGACTACCAAAACAATTTCGTTGTCATCTGTACGAGTTTATGCAACATGGTAGTTGCAGTAGCTGCTCATAGTTTATGCCCTGTGTTCCTATGATGTTGAGACGATCCATCTGGTTGATTCGGGCACTTTTTCGTAGATCCAAGTCCAAAGCGTGAGGGTTAGCTGGCTCTAGTGAGGCAAACTAACGCCGTCAATTGCGAGTATTTGGAAATTTGTCCCGTTATCAATTATATGAAAATGAGAGAAATATAAAAAAATGCGTCTACACGTTGCAAACAAGCTAATGTTAGTATGGTAATAACTTATCCGTTGATGGAGATATCACGCGCCATTCGCATGTTTTTTAAAGGGCGTGACCGCGACGCGGCACCGTCTCGCGCGAAGCATTTAGCCGTTCGCGGCATTCGGCACTTCATCTGGCGCTCTGCTGGACGGTGGGCGTTTCGCACACGTGCCGAGTTTGCGTTTTGGAGGTCAATAGGAGGATCGTGGACGATCCGGTTTCGTTCTAGTGCTCTCGGTGGCGAGTGCTTGAGAACCGTAGTGGAATGAATGGGTCCGATAAATGACGAAATCTACGTGGTTCCGTAGCTCCCACGAGTTCATATGAGTTCTTGTTGTCTTTGTTTTTCACACGTGCTGTTAACGATTTAAAGGTTTCCCCTATGCTTTCTACAGCTCCAATTCGTTTGTATAGTGAAAACGAAAGAGTTTCAGATAGCATGGATAGAAAGTATTTGTTCGCTTTTGGTGACATTTCGATTGTTGGGGATTCGAAACCATGTGGAAAGTCAATGTCGGGTAATGACTTAGGGTCCAAAAGTTCGCCGAAAGCACTGAAATCAAGCGAAACTATCGAACCAGAGTAAGTTAAAGGGGTGGTAGTTAGTGGCTAATTTTAGAAAGTTAAGTTTCTAGAAGAGATAATTTAACACATAAAGACTGAAAGTACTTAGGTGGTTTTATAGGTGTTGATTGTATTATGAGTTTTTGAAGATTTGAGTAATCCAACTCCTGGAACTCCGTTACCTGGTAATAATTTTACAGGAGAAAAGCTGCAGCAGACAGATTCCGACGTGAAATGGAGTATATTGGAGTTTCACTCAACAACATAATACCGAGCACAGTAAGTTTATCTTTATTACAATAGAGTGTTTCTTATTATTAGCGTAGGGTAGAGGAAGTATAGCTATTGTGTACTTGGTCACGCAACCATTTAGAAGCTCAGGAATTATAATTATTCCTGAGTCAAGTTAATTGGTTAGGATCTCTTCCTGAAATTTTTGAAGTTGCATGTCTGAATATGCTCCATTTCGGGTATGATATTTAATAGAAGATACGTTTTAGTTGAAGCAAACTGCGATGGAGAGTTCCAGCTCTTCTTCAAGTGAAGATGGCCAGCGGCGTTCCAAGAAAAAGGCAGTGAAGTTAGTTCTGAAATTTATTTGGAGACTTGAGTTTTGGTGAAACCTTGTCAACACCTAGAGTCCGAAGCTCATTCTTCGCCGACGAGGTATTACTTTAGGAGTGGGAAACACGAACTTGTAGAGGAGGGTTCGCTCTACCGATTTAAGAGTATATATGATCTTTGCAAAGTGTTGTCTCATTTCTAAGGTTGCATAAAGCAAAAGAGAGTAGGAATATCCGTAGAAAGGCGATAGTTCCGCTTGTGCGACCGCTTTGCTTTTTGGAATATGGGTCTCGACGAAAATAAAAACATGTTTTTGTAAATTCGAGATTTCTTACGGGTCGAATAAACACGTGATCTTGGTTTTATCCTATTCCCTATCAAACAACCCGTCCTTTTCCGTCCCACTGTTATTGTTCTTCTTCCTTCCTCCCGTTCTTCCGAGGTCATTAAATAGGACCAGATTTCTATAGAAGGATAAAACACTTTCTTGCTACATCGTTAGGTCCTTAACAGTTACTATATGGGCTGAAATCGAATGCATGGTATATCTTTAAGGGGTTGTTCAATGTAGAATGCTATATCTTGTACCCATTTACCAGTACAAATTAGTTCACGTTGGACTCTAAGTGTTAATGATGTGTTATCTGGTGCACATTCCTCAATTTTCTTTCATTTTTCATGGGTCGTTATTATTGAGCTTTACGTTGCAAAACTATCTTTGTCTGCTATTATACTATTTAAATAAATTGTTTGAACAACGCACATCTCTAAATTTTTAGGAAAATTACGCCGAATGTGCGAAGAGTGCCAATGCATGTACAAACAGTAGCTGAAGGTCGATCGAGACGTTCTGTGAAAAAGGTTTTTATAACAGCTTTCATTTTTTGTCAGTGCATGGAAGGCTATGAAATCCTGACGTTTATGCTTACTGGACCGCATGCTACTGCAATAGTATATTCGGAAGGAACCCGTACTTGGTCCTAAAGGCGTTGTGCTTTCTATTCTCTGTTCTCTTTTCCGTTTAAGGAAAAATTTATTCCAAACCGAGTTAATAAAATTGCTGTGGGTGCATATTAATTATTTGGAGGGCCAGGTAAAACCATTCTCGGTCACCAATAACGCACCCGAAGACCTGGTCACATTCACCTATGACGGTTATATATCAAAAATTGAGAGAAGTGCGAGGTTTGTACCTATTCGAAGACGGCGTGACTTCATGTCCAGGTTATAAGAAATGTCATACATATGGGCACTCGGCCCAAATAGTTGGTAGCACTTTTTTGTCTTCTAAATAAAATGTAGGCGAATGGTTTATCTTTTTCAACGCTGTGTTCAGAGGTGACTGCTAGCAAACATCGATTGTTATTATAAGCTCATACTCAGTAAATTTGGATTTTATTAGCATATAAAATTTCACACTCAATTTTTTTTCCAAAAGTTCTAAAGTGCTCTCTGAAGTAGGTTCGTTTCAGGTTGATTATAAGTTTTCTGAGTTCGATTCTGTAATCAAGGAAGCTTGCAGGATGAACGAATCGCCTCCTCCAGATGCAGTGAAAGGTTATTATTTTCGGGATACGTTTTTCTGCACTCTTTTATGGATTTATGTTCTATTCTAATCTCTTAATTCGCAGAAGTTGCTCGACCTCAAGGTGGAGCTGGCCGTGGAAAAGATATGGCAAATATCATTGAGGCTCAGAAACAACAGGAAGAAGGAGCTCCCAGGTCAGGCTTATTTATGTAGATGGTCAAATTTGTTTACTTAAAACTGGTTATTTTATCTGTTCTATGTTATTTTGGGACATTTTCATGATTAATGTTATAAATCTTAAATCTACGGCATTGAATTCAGTTTTAGTCAGATTTATAATACTTTTAAGCGGAATTTTAGGGCTTCAGCAGGTGTTCCTCCTCGTAGGTTTCCAAAACATCGTCGCAGACTGAACGACTTGAATGATCTCGATGAATCGGATTCGGATTCTGAGGAATACAAGGCAAACGAGTGGGCATTCTATCCATTCACTCAAAGTTGTGGCTTTTTTTAAAAACTCCATTATGCGTATGCTTTTATAGATCAAATTCATTCCGATAAATCTACTTTAAGGTCGGAAGAGGACGCTGAAGAAGATGACCAGTCGTCTGATTATGTACCTTCGGAAACCGAATTTCGCCTTAGAAGGTTAGTCTCGTATTTATTATCAATAATTCCATTATTTAAATTTATAATACTTTTTCAAGATCTTAGTTAAGTGGAGTAAAATAAGACTAAGGGATAAGAACTGGAGTTAGCATCTCTGGATTTGACATCGTTTAAATATTTAGTAGCTTAGCTGAGAGCCGGAGTGAACCATCTTCGCAAATGGCGAGGGTTCATGTTGGCTTTTGTGTAATTTCTGTTTTATTCCTAATTTGCAGTTTGGGCAAAATATTTTCTCCTGAAGTTTCAAAAGCCACTCTTGGGCTTTTCCAGATCGTCGACAACTGTTAGTTATCGAGTTAGTTGTTGTCAGGATGGCATTAATTGCAGACAGTAGTGTTGCCAGGATGGCTTTAATTGCAGGCACTAGTTTACTTTTAATTGAGCTTCCAGATAGAAACTACGAAGTCCTTAGCTTGGGAAACCTGGAGTGATTTGCACATCGTATTCAACATCCGGTAACACTAAGCAGCAATGAGTTGGTGATCCACGGAGTGGATTTTTTTAAACTGTCTTGAAAGATTTATAGCACTAAAGAAAAACAAATTTCCTTATGTGAACTAGATCGTGATTAGTAGTTTTCTACATCGTCGAGCTGACACCAGGTTCTTATAAAAACTTTCTCGACTAACGTTTTGGCCTCTTGGCCTTCTTAAGAGCCGCATTTATCCGAGTCGATGGTCCACAGCTGTTCGTAGTTGCATCGAGTCTAGGGTTCATCACTGGAGTGGGGAACTTTACTCAGCGGCGCCCTTTTATACAGGGCGGGTGTTAGTCGATTGCACAAATCCAGTATGATCTGCTATCTGGCGGACAATACCTCCTGTACCAGTCCGTATTTCAATTGCTGACAAGGAACGTGGCAGTATCTTGAAAACCGATTTTCATTAAACTCCGGCGACAATAATTAGTAATTTTCTACGTGATTGAGCTGGCACGAGACTGGTATAAAAATTTATTCGGCTGACGTTTCGGCGCTTTAATCCTTTCGCCTGGCCGATTAAAAGTTTTTATACCAACCTTGATTGCAGAAAATTACTGGTCATTCTCACCGAGGTTCAATGGAAATCGGTTTGTAAGGTACAGATCGTGACTTTTCATCAGCGCGTATTAGATTTTATAGATTTTTAGTTGAATGCTTTTATTGTGTGTATTGGGCACATATAATTGTGAGATCGGTCACTTGAACCAAACGTTTTGACAATGATTGAGTTTTTTTTATTGTCTCAGAAATTCGGCATCTATCAGGTTAACACGATTGAAACCAATGACTTGTTTCCCGTGCAGTTTTTGGGCTTGACAAGTATCGAAGTGAAGGGCCCCAAATTGAAGGCTGTACGCAGGGATCGAAGCTGAGCCTAAGCGATCCTTTATAACTGTTCATGAACCGTCCAGGCCACCAAAAACCGATCGCTGAAGTGAAGATACCAGAAGATTTCATCCTGAAGTTCTTTTGGTAAGAACCGGGTGAACATGTAGGCAACTGGAATGGCTTCTTTCAAACGATATTCACATGTAGCACATGTCATCCCGTTGATTGTCGAATGACACGAGCGGGCGCCAGTAAGTCTTCCATTTTTCTCTGTCGCATACAAGAGTAGCTCAGTGGGTTCTACTCGCTCTAGAGACTCTTCGAGCATCATATCTTTTCTACGCTTTTCGTTAAGAACTCTTACCATCGAGTTGGTGGTATTTTTTTCAGTACGTTTGACATACCGAGGAGTCCAGTCACAAACGGCTGTTGTCCATCGGTTGTCGTTCATACGCATTACGTGTCCTGCCCACCCTAGCTTCGACTGTTTGGCGTACAGAACCACATCTTTGATTTTTGATCATTAACGCAGGTTAGGCCTTCGGATTCTTTCCCTCACTTGTGTGATACAGGATGGTCCTAGCACACTGAGCGATCTTTCATCCTGTTTACGCAGTGACCAGGTTTTTGACGCATACGTTAACGAAGGAAGTACCATTGAGTCGAAAATGTGTGCTCGGAGTCGGGTGTTCTCTGTTCGCTTCACTGCATCCTCGATACTCTTGAAAGCTCCCCAAGCCGCTCGTTTCCTTCTGCTCAACTCTGGAGCTAAGTCGTTCAACTTATTGATTTCCCGACCTAGATGGACGTGACTGGCTCTCTGGTAGGCATTCATTCCATTGATTGTGAATGGGGCATGTGTAACCGATCCGTTCCTTATGAACATCGTTTTTCTGAAATTTATTCGAAGGTCTATTTTTCCACAGTGTTTTTCACAGTCGGCAAGCATTCGTTCCCCATGGCTAATGTTTGATATAGTAGGAATGATGTCATTAGCAAAGCGAAGGTTGTTTAATAGCCCACCATCGGCTTTCACTCCCATGTTGTCCCACTCCAATATTCGCTTGATGTTCTTTGGAGTGATGGAAAATATTTTTGGCGAGATGATATCGCCTTGCCTAATCCATTTTTTGACGTCGACGTTAATATCATTATAAAATGGTGATATCTTCAATTTTTACACAGCTCGCGAAGCTTCTTTATGTATTGAGTAGGGAATCCCTGAGTGTCCAAGACTTCCATGACCGCGTGTATCTCATTTAAGTCAAAGGCCTTCTTTAAATCGATAAAAGAGACAGAGTGGTCTTTTTTACTTTCGCGATGTTTCACTTAGTCTTGTTATCGTATGGGTATGTTCCTGTGTGCTAAATCCTTTTCGAAACCTTACTTGCTCATATGGCTGCCCTTCGTCCAGTCTTTTGTTAATCCTGTTAAGTGTGCCTCGCGTGAAAAGTTTGTAGACGGCATACAGCAGGCAGATTGGTCGATAGTTGCCGATATCGTGGAGATCACCCTTCAACAATATACGGTCTTACTAGTCCACTTAGTATGGGCTTTGCATTAAAACAGGTAACGTGTCAGGAGTGAAGCCACTGTGTTTATTAAGACTGGGAGAAGACGGGGTTAGGGGAATGAGACCCGTTTATTTTACTGTGTTTAGCTTTTTGATACTCGCGTATAGCTTGCTGGGCTGTGAAAGTGGGCGCTGGTTATACTCACTGGTAGCTTTCCAGTCTCTCCCAGAGTGGACGCGTACCTAATTTGTAGGAGGTGACTCTTAACCGCCTCCCACACACTTCTTCCCTGTCACTTGATTGCAGAGTCTTGGCCGAATTAACTCGTAGAATGGGATCCACATAAGCGTGAACACACGCATGTATGAATATGTCCTCATAAATACAGAAAGTATGTGCCAAATCGGCGCACCAGAAATAGGGAGTCCATCCCATAGATCCACCTGTATCTTAGGGGAGCAAAGGTCGATTTTGGTCCGCGACTAGCTCCCTTTCCGCCACTTGGGGAGGCCCCATGTATCGTCGTTCCTACCGGCCTCATATGAGAGAGATTCGTGGACGTTCAAATGGCGTGAGGTTCATTAAACCACCATTTTATGGTAGAGAAGATCATGGAAACGCTTCGTAGTGGTAGATCAATGGTGGCCTAATAATCTATCCAGTTTACGTTCAGTCGTATCAGAAATCTCTTTTAGCTGATGCCCCAATCTCGGATAACTTCTGATTTTTCAAGAGTAGACATGGAACGTATTTGTTGTAGGAGAGCCCAGACTCCGTGCTGTACTATCCTTTAATTTGATTACAGGTTTTAATCTTAATCATTATGCAGGAAACGGTCCGGTTGGACAAGCTCACCCTTTGATTATGGTTTATTGTATACGGGAGGTACAAGTCAATCAGCACGCATATGGATGAATGTCCTATGATGTCAATTACGTTTCGTCGAGAACACTTGTTCTCCTTTGATTCACTCTTAAGTCTAAGCAATAAGAGCACCCAGTGTAGCTTTGTGATAAAAGCGATTTAGGACCTGTTGTAGAGGTGCATTAATTTAATTGCATTTGGATGTTATTCATAAAGAACACGGCACTCCTCAAAAAACATCTGAACCCATGTGCAAAACTTTCAAAGACTTCGTGGATCATTGATGCGAGGAAGCGAATTGAATGCGAAAAGTGCTGGGATGCGCACAACAGACGTGAAGATTTGTGTAAATTGCATAGAAATTGGAAAATACTTCTTTGTTAGAGTGAGTTAACGAAAAGGCATTGTTTCATTTCTGATAAAAAGGGTGTTCTTTCACTGCTTGTTCTTGTGAGGAGAAACTGTTTGAAAGATGGCGTTTTGGAGAACAAGAAAGAACAACTCAGTGTTTCTTTAAAAAAAACTTATTTAGGTGAAACTAAGGTTGACTTCTCACGTGTTGTCATCGCCTATAAACTCGTATTTAGTTAACTTCGTCGATCTTCTTTATGTCGGCTAATTGCTTTTCTTTGAGAATGGGTCTTTTTATATCACAAAATATTCTAGGATTGGTGGAGGTCGCAAGGCATTTGCACGGACGCAAAGTGATGACGATTTCATTGTTTCTGGATCTGAGGACAGCTATGAATCTCCTCGACGGAAGAAGCCCAACAAGAAGGAAAAGTCTCGCAGGCGAGCTCGTTGGTACGTTTATTGTGCTTAAAATACAATATGTAAAAGTGGTGTGTGCTTTCCGAACGTTCTTCGAGTTAGTGAGTGCGGTGATTTTTTCCTTGGTTCAGTTGTTTAAATAGATACGTTTCTTTCGAATTGTTCTAATTTTTTTTTTTTTTTGATATCCCACTGGTTATGTTCTCGAGTTCAGTACTATAATATTTCTTAGCTGTTCATGTTTCTATGACAGAGTGTTCAATATATATACATATGTATATATATATATATATATACATATATATCTATATATAAGAACATTTCTGTTCTTCTATGTTCTTGAGCAACTCAATTTATTGGATGGTTATAAAACGTGGAACTTCCTCATTTGAATGGTTGTCTATGAAAGTAAGTTAACTGTGCGATATGTGTGGTTACCACTGGTAATGATATATTTCTAGGCAGTCCGATAGTGAATCGGGAGAGGACATGGAAGAGGATGAGACGTACTCTGATGACTCGAGAGGCAAGAAGAAGGTGAACAGACGACGTAGCGTAGTATCAAGCGACGAAACGAGTGATGAAGCTGACGATACTTTGGCTCCGGACACGGTCGATGACATTGTTGATGGTCCCAAAACGCGCACTGGCAGGTTACGTTGCTTTTGAAATCCGTAAACGTTTAAATTTAGTCTTCTGTTTTTAAATAGGTTTTCACTGCATTGCATATACATGCCGTTTACATCGTAATGAGGAAAAACTTTAAGCTTGCATAACTCTAGAGAACGACCTAAAATATTTGAATAACAATGTGGTAAACATATAGGCCTCTTCGCAAGGCAGTGACGAAATCAAAGACAGCCTTTCTGGATAATAGCGAAGATGAAGAAGCCGATGCCAATGAGGATACTGAAAATGGTTTAGGCAAGCAGGAAAATCCGAGAAAGAAGAGAAAAATTGCGTAAGTAATTTTATCATGAATTTCTAGGGAAGTTTCCAACTTTAATTTCAGCTCAGATTCCGACTCGGAGGACATCTTCGAGCCTGACGAGGACATGGAAAATGATGAAGACGATGATGAAGATGAGGGGAATGCATCTTCTGATGCTGTTGGCTCCGTAGTACATGGGCAAAATAATATGGAATGTAACAGTGGTGAATCTTACGATAGCGAAAATGACCTCGGTAAATCTTCCATGTTTTTGAAACAACTTGTACTTTAGTTGCAAGTGATTTGTGTTATAAGCATACTTTCTTTTCAGACCTTAAACCAAAACCGAAGAAACCAAAGCTTGAGAAGGAACAGGACAGCACTGAAGTTCCAGTTGAAAACATAGTGAGTTTGATATAGTTTTTTCATTCTTGCTTATGTTCACTAAAATTTATTCTCTCCATATCGCATTCTATAAACATTTGTTTCACCTAGTGAGGTACAGTGTGTGATTTTTTTTAAAAATTTTTTTCCCATCGCAGTTTCTACAAATGTTTAGAAGGACAATGGCATTTCATCGCAGCCGACGAAATCGACACCGATAGCCGTTCCTTCTGTGAGCTCACGAACAAATGTCAACGTTCAGCATGCAGAAATGAAACCGTCTATATCTGACCTTATGCCGCCTACTGTCCAAGTGGCTTCAGCGCCCGCATCTGCGACCAAAATAAAAGATCCTCGCGCAGCTTCGATGATCCAAGCTCTGACACCGAGTCCTTATTTGGCCTCTCCGGCTACGGCTTCAAGAGGAAAAGTGCTGTCCACCAGTGTTCCTGTTTCGATTCCAACATCTATGAGACCAAATGCTATTGCTCCAGATGCGTCTGTCGCCTCATACGCTACGATAGAGAGAAAAATAAATGTGTAGGTGTTTTACACTGGAAATATTCAATTCAGTTTTTCTGTACAGTTTGGGTGCAATTCAGTTTTTTTGCAGAGCCATGACTCCTGTTGTCCCAAATCCGTATGCGACCACATCGTCTGTGCCTCAAATCCATCCTTATTATTCTGGTAGGTACTTTCTACTTCATGAATATTTTCTTGAATATTCTGCATATCTTTCCCGCTTTCCATTCTGTTTTCATTCAACCATTTCGTATAGGTCAGCAAGGCCCTCTACCTTATGCTGTAGCGAATCCATATATGATGTACTCTCCAAATGCATCCTCATTTCCCTCAGATCCACAGTCTGTGGGTCATCCTCACATTGGCTACATACCGGGAGTGGTGCCGAACCCTTACGGACAACAACCTAGGTAAGATTTTCTTCCTACACAGGTTTTTCAAAATCATTGTTCATATTCGGTTCTATGCTTTGATATTGCAATTTGCTTCTAGCATGGCACCCACAAAAGGAGGAAATCGCGACATGCGTTCTTTGTGAAGATATTTTATAGTGGTTATTCCTCAGAATTTCTGCTTGGACCATAGACAAAGCAGAGGGCTCAAAACGTTAATTAAAAGTGCCTGTATGATACATGGTGCAGGGGAAGTTTTTGGACAGAACTGCTGTAAACAGGCAGCTTTTAATAAATAGTACTTTGCGCTGCAATATATTTATTGGTGTATTATAGTTAGTTCCGCTTTTTTGGGCTGATTGGCTAGTGGGCGTATACTGTTAGCCAGTGGCCAAAAATTGAAGTGAAGCATCAGTTTAGCATTTTCATAACAGTGACGAAGTCAGTTTTTTTCACTTGTATTAGCTAAAAGTTGTGAGAGGTTTAAAGTAATGAAGAAAAACCAGTAGTGGTGAGAACAAAGGTTTTTTTCAAACCCAAAATGTAGTACATGTCCAAGGACTGTCGCGGCAACCAACAATATTGAAGTATTCATTATCCCTTAATGTCAAAAGTGCGCCATTGAATCTAGAACACTGGTCTTTGTTTCCTTTTTTTTCGTATTATTGACTGTGATATAGTTTCTGAGGTTTATGCCCTGCTCTGGCCGTAGAAAGCGGCATGGGCGTCTTATTGCATCGGTTTTGTATTTATTGGAAACCCAGACAATGTTGTCTATAATCAAGCGGTTTTCTTTATTGATCGTCAACATTTCGCTCTGCGACGTTCTGATCTGTTTTGCCTTCTAAGGTCTGTTTATCTCATTTATTTCTCTTTTTTTAAAACCGGTGCAAGTCAGTGTTGTCTCTATCTTAGTGGGTACGATACTCATATGCTTGGATACTCACTTTTATCGTTTTCATCCGCTCTTTATTTTTCCTTTGTTTTAAAACTGACGGTTCTAGCGTTGTTTTCCGTAATAAAGTGTTTTAACTCCGGATCTTATATTTGCTAGGATATATCAGGTCCAAGCAACAAATGTTGAGATGAGATGATGCTTAATACTTTTTCACAATGGGTAGCTATTTAAAAATCAGAAATTTGACTAAGAGACAAATGTGTCTTGGAAAATATGACGGATAGTGATGGTTGGGCAGGGATTTTCTCTCCTAAAAACGGTACTTGGTTTTCAGCAGAAGTGATTTATTCCTCCAAAGTGAAGCAAGTGTAAAGCAATATAAGCTGTTAATCGTTTTATGCAGCGTTGTACAAATAATAAGGAAGATCTCTTTGAGGGTTAACATAGCCGCATTACTACTTGGGAGTTGAGATGACGGAACGTGAGCGTTAGATGATTGCTTTTGTACTAAAAATGAGGAGATAACCTTCCTTCGTATGATGTGCAGAGGTCAGTACATCATAATAGCAAGTATGAAATCGCAGAACTATGTTTGGTAAGATCATTAACTCGAGTTTATAAAATTTTGAGAATATAGTCAGTCAACCTGTGTTCAATGTTGTGTTTATTCGGAGAGCGAGTACGCAGTTCAACCTGGACAGAATTTTTTCTAGTAATGAGATCAGTTAGAATTGTTACAGAAACTCGGGTTCTTATATCGGACGAGCTCTATTCTGGATCTGTTTACGAAGCAGAATGTGTGTCATAATTTTAGAAAGCGTTTGACCATTATGACATGGTGCATGCTTATGTATTATTTCTTTTCTGGATTTCAGTACTTGCGGAGGAAATCTGCAGGGATCGGTGGTGATCAACATAGCAAGCAGTGTCATCAGTTGTTGCAATACAATTTGATGAGACTAAGGAGAACTTCATCACACTTTTATTTATTAGATTTTAGCATGCAGAATCCTTATCTTTCTCTATGAGCCGCACTTTTTTTATTTCCTGCTGCATGGACTACTATGATTAGTTGTGCAAAGTATTCAAAAACCCTCCCCGGCTTCGATACCCTTTGAGGTATCTGTGATCTATGACACAATACATGACTAGTTTTCTCGGCGACCAGCTAATTTTTCAGTCCTGTCGCTGAACGCCCTCATTGTCGTAGTTTTTCTGATAGCGACGAATATTTTCATTAACGTCATCGTTTGTGAGGAGTCTATTTCAGTCCGAGTGTTTGTTTAGAGTTTGCCATAATCAGCTCAACATATTCGGTTTCATCAGCAACAATATCGAATTGAACGCTAGCGTTCAGTAAAACGTCATCGCCATATTTCATCTTTCATTCCACCATTACTTTTAAAAACGATGTTAGTAGTGATTTATCTCATATGAGGGAGTGAAATCACTGATGGCTGCGACCAAAGTTGTTTTGATCGCCAGCAATGCCAATGTGGGATGATTCTGATCGCAAATTTTCATCTCCGTATCAACTTCTCAGTATCATTTGCTTCCTCATTCAGATATCAAAAGAAGCAACTAAGACGGAACATAATTTCATAACGCATAGGAACTTTTAGATAAAGTTGTATTTGGATATGTTTAGCAGAATGCGATAGAAGAAAGTAGTCTAGAATAGTGCGTGGAATTCTGCAGTAATTTTGCGTCACTTGGAAAGCTGGATGACCTGTATCCGTAAAACCTTGTGGACTCCAGCGCACTTTCCTTTTGATTGTTAATTTTCTGCTTAGGTAAAATTTCTTTCGCAGACATCTAGAAGTCGTGCTAGGACTTCTCAATTTGTCACCTTACGAAGTTACTTTCCCGTCTAATAGATTGGGCTGGGGAATGCTATCGTCTTGGCTAAGTTTCTATTAGGAAGTTGGCGGTTTCTAATGAAATCGATTTACTCCCATTTGAGATTCTTTGGGAAGCTTTGCAAGTACTAGCTCTCTTCCGTCCTCTCCGTAGCTGTATAATGCAGTTGAACACAGGAACACTCCGTATCCACAATAGAGCTATGAACTATTGGAGAATCTGTATTATTGATCAGAAAATGATTTTGCGTCAAACTATCTTAATGCACAGGTCCACTGTCATTGTAAAAGAGTGCCTTTTTTGAAGTAAGGACGTGTCTGGCTAGAATCCAACTGGTGGAGATCGTTCTCGAATCCATGTAATACGGTAACGTCTGTGCACTGTGGAATTCCAGGATGATGGCAGCAATTCTCTACAATACCTTCTACATATTCCGTTGCTGAAAACTTTATCTCTCTTGTTTTTTCTGCATTTGTGGAGGTGCGCATCTTTTCTTAATACAGTAATCATAGCTAATCGTATCCATGCCTAGATTGCAGGTAATTCATAAGAACAATTTGAGCTTTAGAAGTATGCCCTTATAACTTTGAAACAGTTTTATATTTTACTAATTAATACGCTACTATTGTGTTATGTATATTCAATACCTATCGTAGGTACAACATAGCGTTCTATTAATACTTACTTGGATATTTGGACGGCCCTTCCTCACTGGTCGTGTGGGCCCCAGCATAATTTCTACCTTTTCGGAGGTTTTCTGGTTTAGCCATGGTGTTTTCCTGGAGTCCCGAAGTCAGCCTGACCTATATCTGCTCCAAGTCGTCACCACTCACAGACTTTCGCCGCTCCTGTGGATAAGAGTGAGATTTGCCACCATGCGACTAGTTTGATACCAGGACGGCGATGGGTCCTGGTACTGGTTTACTTTTATATGGGCTTCGTGGCTGAAAGGCCGGGCTGCTCACCTTGGGAGGCTATGCTAGGGGATGAATCCCCACATTTTAAATCGTATCCCGACATCCAGAAATACCTCTCAGCCACGATGAGGTGGTAAACCGTTAGGAGGATGAATTCTTCGTGGAGTTAAAAAATTCTAACCGAGCTGCACGTGTATAATTGACAGTAAAGCCAAACAATTCGGTTAGGCATAATAAATTATGATCTGGTCAAGGTTTTTGAGTTATGGAAATGCGATTAGTTGTCATTTAAAACGAGAAACAATAATTTGTTGAGTTACAACTGCGTTGTAATCCGTCAAATTTCTTCGGTTTATCACTCTAACAAGAATGGATAACCTTAGGCTCGTAAATTGGTTCCGCATAAAATTACTGTTATAATCCGTTATTTTTTGCTTCTTTTTTGCTTCAGAGGTCTTGTGGTCTGAGATGTTATAAAAACAAAAACATGTAACTGGCTAGTTTCTGATCTGATATTACAATTGTTTTTCTTTATGAGCTCTTGATCACACAAAATTTGCTCAACAGAAATTACTTGTGTGCTTTAATTTCATCCAGAGTTTATTCTTCACTGTAATTTAGGTGCTGGGGCAGATAACACAATGGTAGTGATGTCGGTATCATGAGCATGGTGCTAGTTCGATTCCGTTCCAGGTCGACCAAACCTCTCCTTCCCCCAGGGTCGGAAAATTGGTACCGGACTTGTCTGGAAAGAAATCACTCTCTGCAATCCAATTGGGAACGCTCCAGGCTGGCTATCTCAGGTCTCCACGGAGAATTGCTTAACCAGCATTCTATGACATTCAAGATGAAATGAAAACTCCTCAAGCAGCAACAGAAGCCGCACGTAAAAACTTGGAAAACCTTCATGGACAATGGATGTGAAGAAACGAATTAGATATGAGAAGTGCTGGGATCCGCACAGTGGTTGTGAAGACGAATAAAATAAAATAAAATTTGAAATAAAAAAAAATTAGAAATTATTGAGTTAATTCTTTTTCCGTTCTTTTTTCAGCTTTTCTTTTACCGATTCATCACCCACCATTCTACAGTCTGACCGTGCATTGCCTGTTAATGAAAAAAAAAACAGGGAAATGGAACAGAAGAGATAGAGGTTTATCATTTAGGGTTCTCCGAAATTCTTTTTCGTTGAGAGATTGTTAAGACATATTGTTGAAACAAACATAATTTGACAGTAATTTAAGTGAATTTCGAAATATTATAGTGTTTTATCTATCATAACAATGACAAGTCGTGAAGGTGCAAATAACTGCCTGTTGATTTTGTTGCTGTCATGGTCTGGGCTAAGCGCTTAATCCTTTAACGTTCATGTTCTTGATTTCAAACGTGGACTGAGCAAGCCTTGCACAAGACTTATTAGCTGTTCTTGGTTTATCTGGAAATCAGCTGTGCTTTTCGCAAAAAATGCAAA